GGAAGGAAGGAAGGAAGGAAGGAAGGAAGGAAGGAAGGAAGGAAGGAAGGAAGGAAAAAAAAAAAAAACCACAATCGTCCAGCCAAATGGCTTAGTGGGTAAAGGCACTTGCTGCCAAGTCTGACAACCTGGGTTAGGTTCCCAAGGATCCAAATGGTGGATGGAGAGAACTGACCCCTTCAAGTTGTCCTCTCACCTCCATTCATGCACTGTGGCAAGTGAGAGAGGATGCATGTGTTTATGCACACAAGTGCACACACTAAATAAAATAAACAAATACATAAATACATAATAAATAAATAAATGTTAGAATTTTAAGCCAACTATGGCCACCATGTTCTGCAATGATCTCTTGAACTCAGTCTCTTGTCTAACTAAAATTTTCGTGCCCTTGGACCTTCATCTCCCTAGATGTCCCTGCTCCAGCCCCAACAGCCACCATCCTACACTGTGCCTCTATGGGCTTGACTCTTAATGGCTCCACATGTGAGATCATGCTGTGCTTGTCCTTTTGTGCCTGTCATCTCTCACTTAGCAAAATAGCTGCCAGAGTGGCAAAGCTTCGGCTACTGCATATGGAATGAGCCAAGGGCCGAAGGTATCTGTAGCCACCCCAAGAAGTATACTCCAGAGGAGGCAGATTCTTTAAGGCTGAAGCTGAGTCTTGCCAAATGCACCATGCTCTTCCTCACTCCATCATATTCTTGGTGATGCCTCTCTCTTATGATACACTTGCACTTGAGATCTGAGTGTTCCTGGGGACAAAACCTCACAGGTCTCATTTCAAAACATGACCATGGAGTCCAGGATCCTTTACACACTTCATTTTTTAGGTGCTTGCCTTCTCCCCCCGAAACAACTCCCCCTGCTTTTCCCTTCCTTTCCTCACTTCCTTGAAGAGTTTCAGCTGGTGATGTTGCCTCGTACATGCCGAAAAGCATCTCCCATCCGTAGCTGGCTGTGGGGTGCTTTGCAATCTTTCACTGATTTTCATTACTTTGCCACCTACAGGTTTAGATGGCCCTTTCAGAACGCTTTGCTCTCTTTTCCCATTTAAGTGGGCCATCTGTTTCTGGCCAGGACCCCTTATTGACATGGCCTTCATATATCTGTATCTCCAGTTGTCTTTTCCCCAGAACCCCAGATTCTTAGACCCACCTACCTGCCTTTATGACGGATCCATGTGTATATTTAGGACCGACTTTCTACTTGCCATGGCCCAGATACGATTCTTTAGTTCCTACCACCTAAACACGCTCCTCCTGTCGTTTTCCCCATCTCAGCAAGAGGGAATCATCATCATGCTCTCAATGTTCATGCCCCAAGTCTAGGCTCAGCCTTAATTCCTCTTCCTCCCTTACTTCTACACAGTTTATGACAGCACACTACAGGTCCGCAGGTATCATCCAAATGGGAACCACATCCCTCTACCTCTACAAGCTGCCAGCATCTCCCCTAAACTGGGCAACACTCTCCAAGTCCCTTGCTTTCTCTCTCTTGGTCCATCACAACCTATTCTCTCCAACCCAGATAGATTAACCCTTAAATAACATAATAGAGACCATATCACTGGGTTTAAAACCATCGATAACTTTTCATTTGATAACAAAGCAACTCACTTTGTGTCAGAAGAATGAGACTCTAATTTTTCTGATTCCTTACCACCCTCTCCTCTGGTCTTCTCCCAGCCACACTCTGTGTTTTGGGGTTCCTTGAACACAGTGACCTTCTCACCTACATCTCCTCTTCCTATCTGATCCTTGCATAATAGATTTTTTCCCCCAGTTCCACCTCTGTTCAGTATAACTCCCTAGGGAGGCTTTTATTTACACCCAGTTGAAACCATTCATTCTTTCATTTGGAATTTTTAAAAAAAATATTTAATTATTTTAATTTTGTTCTATGCGTATGTGTGTTTTGCCAGCATGCATGTAAGTGCACTCATATCATCCAGTGCCCACAGAGATCAGAAGAAGGCATCAGATTCCCTGGAACTGGAGTGACAGATGGTTGTTAGCTGTCATGTAGGTGCTGGGAACTGAACCCAGGTCCTCTGCAAGGGCAGCCAGTACTCTTAACTGCTGAGCCATCTGTCCAGCCCCTCATTTTGAATTTTAAAAACTGACATTCTTTCATCTGTAGACCGTGAGCATCAAGACAGGAGGAATTTTTCTTCATGACTGTCTCCCCAGCACCTGCCCTGGACCTCTTAAACATTCACCAACTTGTAGATATGTGATGAATGAATATAAGAATGCTTCACAACGTGGAGGTATTCCACATTTTTTTTTCTTTTGAGAAACCATAAATAAAGACTTTAATAGGAAAGCAGATGACATCTTTCAACTTGGCAACTAATTTCCTTATTTTTCAATTATGACTCAAACAAAAATATCACATTTGCAAGTCAAAGAGAGTCAAGGAGCCACTAGGCTGTGCTCCAAGGTTATTTAAAAAGGAAAGTATTTAGGGACAAGGAATAAAAGACATGTGCCCCAACACCCACAGTAGAAAACTGGACTTGGACTGAATGGGTTCACTCCTCTTTGTCTAAAGCCCTGCATCTGAAGTTTCTATGAGCTAAAATTCATTAACTTCTCTTGCAGCAGAGCCTGAAAACTCAATACTAGATCATCCTAATCTACTTTTCCATTTTTACAAAACTTGTTTAGTTTCATTTAAATCTCCAATGTCCTTTCTGTGGTTTTCTGTGCTCTTCATCTATTTGAAATCCCCTAACTGACAGCATTTGCTCTGACACATCACACACATGGAAAATTACAGGCTGGAGTTGTAGCTGATTGTGTCAGCATGTATTTGTGAATACCATAAAGCACTGAAATGAGACGTATTGCACTCCCTAATACAGGAGGTAATTTGTTTTTTGGACTGCCTGGTATTTGTGACATTCATTAGTGAATACTGCAATAGGAAATGGAATCACACAAATGGGAGTTCACGTTGTATTTGCTATCGAGGAGGTGCACATGACGTATGGGCGGCTGTGCTCCCAGTCTCCCCTGCTCACAGGTTAGCACTTTGCAACTTTGGCCTTTGTGTCTTGCAAGTAGACAAGAACATAACCTCCTATTCTATGGTGCCTGGAAGTGGGGTGAGCCCTAGTCACCCCACTGTCCCTCTCACCAGAACTTCTGTCCCAGGATACTCCCTATCCATGAACTGGAAAGGCAGACATTTCTCTCTTACAGTGTAACAATGGCAATCTTTTCCCAATTTTCAGAAGTACATTTTAGTTATTAAAGAATTCAGTTTAAAAAAAAACCAGTTATGGTCCTCTACCCTATTTTTTTTTTCCTGAAAGGTTTTTTTAACTAGTATTTCTCCCTAGTGGTTTAACTCTGCATGCTGATTAACGGATACAAGCATTCCTTTCCTCCTAGACAAGGAAGGAACCAGTAACGCTCCATGAAGACTGGGTGTGTTTATCAATCACCTTGGTACCCAGACAGGTGTGGGTAAACAGTAAGGTGTCCGTAAGAGAGTGCTGGCATTTTACAGATGAGGGAACCAAAGCTCTGAGTGCTTTGCAAGACTTACCTTCCAGAGTTATTTGGAGAAATAACAATAAAGAATACAAGGCACCTAGGACAGGCCTGGCTTTGAGCAGGAACTCATTAGAATATAATAGGCCCTCACAGGGAATTTTAGATCCTCACAATCAGTATCTACTTAAAATATATAACACAAAGCCGGGCATGGTGGCACATACCTTTAATCCCAGCACTGGGGAGGCAGAGGCAGGCAGATAGATCTCTGTGAGTACAAGGCCAGCCTGGTCTACATAGTGAGTTCCAGGCCAGCTGGGGCTATAGAGAGGCTCTGTCTCAGAAAGACCAATAAATAAATAAATAAATAAATAAATAAATAAATAAATACAGTTGTGGGGCTAAGTAACCTGAGTGCCTATTTGTATCATATTTTCTCTGCTAGTAAAATTTTTGAAGTTGGTAGAATGGAATAAAATATAACAAATAGTCCATGTTGCAAAGTTCTATGATTTCTTAAGTTATTTTAAACAGGTTTAAAGACACTAATAAAAATGTCATGAAACACTGAACCCAGTGAAATCCCATGCTGGACCTAAAGAGGCTTCACAATTAAGGCTGACAATATCAGCCATCAGTCAGAAAGTTGCAAACAGAAACACAGGCAGTGTAATGTTTCATATGAAATTAATCCAAACCATTTGAAATCCTACTTGGCACTTACAGTAGGAAACTGGTAATCCACAAGAATATTTGCCCAGATAGTATTAAGAAAATAACCCTGGACAAGTAGCCAGTGTCCTTTGAGTCAGCAAGAATTAGGATGACCTGAAATCACTTCTACTTTCTGGATCTCCGGCTCCTCCCGTGTAAGACGAAGGAGGAGATAACTAGCTTTCTTCTTCTAACAGCTTGGTCTTCTAACTTAAAAGACAGGGAGTTACCTATGAGAAATGGCATCCAGGGAAGCAGTTTTCCAAGTTTTGGAGGAAGCGCTCTGCACATATGGACCCCAAGTGATCTTTGATTAAAGCAGGAAGGAAGGCATGTGAAAACGAACTCTTCTTACCTTTTAACTTCCTTGGCATCACTCGCGATGAAAAATCCTAAAGTGCCTTCTTGGATCTTAAGATGGTTCCCAGGGTTAATTAATATACTGCTCAGTGAACAAAAACAAACAGAGAAGACACGTGTGTGAACTCGGGTTCTGAATACAACCTTGACGGCAATGCTGCCTGTTGTTTTGATAGGGGCCCCACTAGTCTTGCCCCAGAGATTTTCCTCTGGAGTCTGACATTCACTTACTGGCCCCCGTGTTCAATTCAATCATGCCATCATTTAGCTCCAAGTGGCATATTCCCAAGTTGAGGAAATCAAAGCACATCTAGATTTTAGGACCTGGGTTTGCATAACAGAGCTGTTGAGTCGCCCCCATAGGCAATTGATTGGAAGCACAGTTCCTTGGGGTGCATTCCATTTTGAAACTGATTTTGATGATCAACATTGAAACACTGCTGGTCTAACGAAGCTCTATTTACACTCATTTCCCTTAGATGACAAAACATTAATGGGACCCCTATATACATATACAAAACATATATCTACATACCACATTATCTCCATGGGGAATGATACAAGATACCCATATCATAGTCAATGCAAAAGAAAACTGTACCTTTGGAACTTTGATAGGTACATGGAAGTAGATTCAATGAAGAATCAGATCTACAGCAGTTGATTTTACTTAATGATTCCAGCCTGCTCTTTGTAAAAATGTGCTGGTTGTTTGTATGAGATGTATGAATACCTGGTCCTCACTGAGGCAAACTGTAATTGAAACGCAAATGAAAATTATCCCTTAAAAAAAAAAAACTTGCCCTCCAGGGACATGTGAACCTAAATATACACTATCCTATCTCCAAGTGATATAAATAGATTAGCTGACCAAGTGATGTTTGGGCTGACAGTAGAGATAAATGGATCCTAATCTAATAAATGGAAAAAAACAAGCAAGTTTAATTTTCTGCAGATCAAAAGCAGAATAAAAGACTGTCTTACCCAGAGACAGCAATGAGGCTTTGAGCTTAATGGATGCTGAATTTAGGGGCTCGGAACAACAACGAAAAAAAAAAAACCAGAAATATTCTTTGATCTGAAAAGCTGGTAATTAAGGTAACATATTTGGAATCAGCCTAAAGGTAATCCTCAGCTACTCCAAACAATCAAAATGGAGGATAGTAATTAACATATAATCTTTTTCTGCTGGTAAAGCCATTACAGAAAAAAACCTGCTGTGGCCAATGTTGCACTCTATCTCCAGCAGGACAGGAAGGACCCAGGTGAACTTTTGTTCTGCTGGGAGCACTCTGAGCTGATCATTACTGCAGAAAGAATTGTTTGTGGTTGCAAGAACATCCACCATTACCTGTTACAAGACCAGGAAACCGGGTGTATGTCATTATTAACACTAAATAACAGCAAGAACATCTGAAGATTTGACTGTTCCGCCTCAGAACCACCAGGAGCAATGAGATTCCTTCCAAATCAGAAAGCAGCCATTTACACTAATGGCTCATGGCAAAAGGCGAAGGCGGCGACTTTGCAAAGGCACCTTCTACTTAACCCTTATGCCAACTCTCATGCTGCTATCACAAGTCTTCTGCCCTCTGCTCTAGCATCGTCATGAGGGGAAAGACAAAGATACAGTTTTTACATTTATTTATTTGCATGTTCATGCACTTGCTCGTGTGCGTGTGCATGACATTTATAGAGACTTCCCTTTCAAAGCAATTAAATATGGCATTTTAGGATGGCAGAGTTCTAGGTTCTGCACGTTTTCCCGCCTTACTCTCCTGTCAGGCAGTTCCTGTGTATCTCGGCTCTGCAATGAGAACCTGGGTTCATATTCCATCATTGCCACAAAATAGTAACTTTGGGTGAGGAATTAGACCCCACCCCCCAAACTCAATGCTTTTCCCTTGAGAGGGATGTTAATGATTACAATAACCTTTCATCAGAGAACTAAGTGAGATAATGTATAAATGACTCGATACATGCCAATTATGGTTATTTTTATTACTTTATTCTTGCAAAAATGCCCAAGTATATTGCATTTTTCAATTGAGTTATCACGAGTTTTCCTTAAGTGGCCTAATAGATTGGGATATGATGCTTCTTACCAAAAATATCCTATCTAAAACGAGGTGAACTTACAAGGCTAAAAAAACAAAAAACTGTACATTACAGAATAAATGAATATAGCCATAAAGAAAAAAAAAATCCCACGTTTCTAGAGCCTTAGGAGAGTCTTCCTTAAAGTTGGGAAAGTCTGAATTTTGATACGTATTCACGTAAGATTGGAATTAAAGTTCCTATCGTGATTCAAACAGAATTTGAGAGGTAAAATTTGACACATCTTGGTGGTATGCAAAGAACTGTTCCCTTTCCTCGAACTCTGTGCCCCACTGTGTCATTGTGAAATGTTGTGATCTCAAGGTATCCCATCAACGAAAAGCTTCTTTTCATCCCTACTGTCCTTTATCTGCACAAGAACCTGCATGCAGTGAAATGTGGGGATGGGCAGTCTACAGAATGCAGGTCAAGACTGTGTATTGCGGCCTTCAATCTTCTTCTAATCAAGTCAGTGTGCTGGAGAGGAAAGATTGGATGCTGGAGTACGACACCCTGGCGTTCAAATGTCAGGTGTGTCACCAATGTTGGTTAAGCACGTAGGCGCACGAATCAGGCCTCACCAGTTTGGATCCAGGCTTTGAGCATGTGGATGCAACCAAGCATCACCTTCCTAATGCATTCAATGGGGTATATAATTCCTGGCTGTGTCTCTAAGAGAATGAAAACATGTACTCTGCATTGAGTGATCATCACACAGTATGTCCTTAATCTGTAGTTTCTATCAATAGTGGACAAGGTAATTAAAAAGCTAGATGAGAGTAAACAAACCCTCACACTTCTACAGTGTTATTCACTTTCTTCTCAAGGTTAATTGAACTCCTTTGAAGGTGTAGTCCCTGTACAGCTGGAAATGGGTTACTATAGATTCACTGCCAGCTATTTACAGAACAGTTCCCCTTCCTTGAGTTTTATGGTGCCATGCACTGCAATGCAAGCAACAGAAAGCATCTCAATGCCCTCAGATCTTGTGATTCCAAGATGCCCTTTGTACTCCTCATGGACAGGGAGAAAGGGTTAAAATCATCTCCAGGTGAGGTAATCATCTCCAGGTGAGGTGTGTGGCAGATACCAAGATACAGTTAAGATAGCCTTCTGGGTGGGATGTAAAGGAATAAGCCTCACCCTTGAGGAAATGAAAGAAATCTAGACGCACAAGATGTTTGGCACCATATAAGCTAGATACAGCTCATATATTTAAGGATGGTGAAGAATAGGACCCTGGTTTTGGGGGCCAGCAACAGAGAATATTTCTTGTGAATTTCATAGGCTCTTTGAAAAAATTCATTATTAACTTTGGTATTTCAAAGTCTTCTACCTACATTTCAAATCTAGAAAGTGTAAATACAATGTTAATCCTCTTCTTGAAAATGTAAGAAGAGCCTCATGATTACAAGGGTGCATGCCTGTAATCCTCGCACTCCAGAAGCAGAGGCAGGTGGATCTCTGAGTATGAGGTCGGTCTGGTCTACATACTCCGTTCCAGGCCAGCTAGGGCTGCACAGTGAGATCCTGTCTCAAAAAAAGAAAACATTTCCTATATGTATATGAACTCTAGGCAGAAGGAACTTTTTAGCACTACAAAATGACTACTAGGCTTAAAATCTGTTATTGACTTCCTATAGGGAATATATTAAAGTTTTTTCCAGTATCTCTGATCTTGTGGAGATCCAACGTCAAGTTTGTTTTGTTCTTATGGCCACCAAAAGTCCTCCTCCCTGTGCACCACTTTAAATCAGTTCTCTGGCTCCAACTCTGTCTAACTCACTACCTTATCAGAGATAAAATTCAAGATGTGTCATGAAAAGAATCAAGGAAATCTCTAGGAAAAAAGTGCATATATCTAGTAGCAGAATTCCAACAAGGACATCTTCTTGGCAGGAGGGGACCTGTCTTCATTTCAAGGAACATATAAATTACCCTCTCTTTTTTTCCATGACCTTGCTGATCTTAATTGAAAATACCCAGTGACAGCTGGCAGCTAAGGGCTCGTGTGGTCCCTTCTCCAAGGATTCTCACTCTCACCCTTCTGCAATCAGATTAGTTCTATAGCTAGCCTTATTCTTTGTCTACTTACTGTCTATGCAGAGCAAATAATACTTTCTTTAAGGAACCCATTATTGATTAGAAGGATGAGACACATGGTCCCTCTATTTATTTTTGAGTTTCTCATAGTAAGAAGTTTAGAGCCCTACATGTGAAAGGTACTTTCCAACTCTGCTGAATGAATGAAAAATGTAAGTCATTGGTCTCAGTTCTAGAAATTTCTCTTTTCCTCTCTAATAGGGGAAAGTAGCAGTCTTGGTTCTTTCAAAAACATCTAAGCTGCAATTCTCATCAGTCAGGCTAATCAAAGGGATGACCACATATCTTCTTGTGGATTGGCCACTGAGCTAATGATATCCCAGAGGCATTAAGTATAAATATGAAAATATGCAAATATGTAAGCAGTGAATTTTTCTGGCTGGATCAACTGATTTCAATACTGAAAGCACAACTTCCAAAGAACTGAATTGTGTGTTCTTGATTGTAGAGCATATCCACATTGAAATGGCTCTATCCAATAGGGAGATGTCTATATCATTCCCCTGTGGGAGGCAGCAGACTGCATTCTGTTTCGTTGGACATCTCATGCTTAAACATGGGTCAGGTTGGAAGATCAGGACGTGATTAGGGAGAAATATTCTTTTCCCTTTTTTCAACACTTAGGTGTAACAACTGTGAAACATTTAGTAATTTATTCTTTGATCATCAGAAACTTCACCTATTTACTATTTGAGGAGATGATGAATGATTGATGATTGAACTGAAACAGATCTTGTTTTAAAGGAAACTTTTATCCACTATGAACATTGTAGACAAATATGACACAATTATGTGTGGTTTTCTCCCCTCTCCTGCCCCTTTGAGGCATCATGTACCATTCCCCAAGTGGTTAAGATAATATCACAACTTACATGAGAATATAGGTTATATTTAATTATTCTATAATTATAGTTGTGTCTAGCAAGCTAATGGGACTTCATTAACTACAGCAAGAAAATAAGAACCATTGAGGGGTTCAGTTCATGCCATGCCCAGATGAATTACACCACTGTGAAGAGGTCTCTCCAATCACTCAAGTTCATATACAGTTTCTGTCAGTAGGAACTTGGTTTGAACCAATTTGTGTTCCCTCTCAAGAAGTAGAACTGCAGTACAGTTTGTGCTGTGTTGAGATTGCTTAGAAAAAACCCAAATCTCAAACCTCATCACCTTTCTGGAACTTTCCATTTCTTCTGGGCTTTACAATATGTGCTGCTGGAGTCCCACACAACTAGACACACACACTTTCACATTAGGATATATGCAAGAGACAGCTGTGTATTCCATGCTTCAATAAGCTTAGACCCAGTTCACTTACATACAGAAACACCATAATGAAGTTTGCTCCCAGGTGACCAGACTCAAATGACCACCACTGTGGTTTACAAATAACATTGGCAAGAATTTGTTTAGTTTGAATCTATATCAATAATCTTAAAGGTAAAATTTTAATTTTTTTATATTATAGAAAAGACTAGCTACATGAGATGGACAGAGAGAGCTAATCTATGAAGAAAAACGCTGGATATGTGGTTCTGGGAGCAAGCTGTGTCACTTTCTGGTACACTTTAAGACAAGTCATGCCTACATCACAACATGCCTTCACCACAGAGGAAAAAGATTCAAAGGCCAAAAGTCAACAGCAGAGATGCAAGCACTGTGGACCTTTGAATGTGGGCCTTTGAAGACGCAGAGTGCTGCAGTAACTTCTTGCAGTTGGATCATATCAATAATACCAAACTGACAGGAAGCCACCTCTATTTATTCACATCTACTCAAAAATCATGGATTTGACATTAGAAAGATTTCTAGACACACACACACACACAGACACACACACACACACACACACACACAGACACACACACACACACAGACACACACACACACACAGACACACACACACACACAGACACACACACACACACACACACACACAATACACAATTAGAAACACAAACACATGACAGGGACTATAACCACAGACAAAACCAAAACCAAAACCAAACTCTTGAAAAGATGAACAGGTTGGCTTCTCAGTTGCTTGTTTTCAACAACACCATCTTAGAGAATGCATTATTGAAAAACTAGGCTGGAAGATTTAACCAAAAACCAAAACCCAAATCTTAAAAAAATGTGATTAATGGTGATTTAGTCATGCTCCATGCAACATAAAACAGCAAAACAGGGTAAAGTCACATGGTGAAAGCTCAGCTAAGATGCTCCCTAGGAAGAAATATGCCAAAACACACTAGACAGAAAAGGAAGCCACGAGTTTGTCTCAACAAACAGTGCTTGTTGTAGAAATCAAATGTGGTAACTGGGTGGTTTAGTAGCGATGCATTAAGTCTTTTCAGAGCACTGTGCAAGAAATTAGATAGTCAAAATGAGATCAACCAAAAGAAGTATGCAGAAAGGAGAGGGGCAAAGGCTTGGTCTCTGATTTGTGGATAAGGGACAGAAACTCTGCTCTACAAAGTGGAAACTCAACAGAAGAAGGACGAGGAAGTCACTGGGAATGTGGATGTGGGATGTAGACAAGATGGATGGCACCCATGTCCGAGAGACACCAGGACAACACCAGGACAATACAGAAATAGACACAGAGGGTTGGAGAGAAGCGTCCTTTTCAACATTAATAGGACTCGTTCCCATCACCAGTACTACGATCAGTGACAGGATTATCCCTTTCCTTTCCTTTTAAGTTTTCCTGCAAAGAAGTTAGTGCATCAACTAAAAGAATCAACAAATCAATGACAGCAGAAGGCAACTTTTCATTTTTATATATTCTAGTTGGAGACAGGTATGATATTTATGTATATATATATATGTGTGTGTATATATAGATATACTATATATATATACACACTAGACAAGGAAATGAGATTATATATACACATATATAATCCCTCTCTTCTTGGATTCCTGAAAAATGGTTAGTCCTGTGGTTAGGAGTGAAGACAGAGGGTGGAGGTTGGAAGGGAAGTTAACGAAGAGCGCATACCGCTTTCGGCTTCTGCAAAACGACAAGAAAAGAATTTCAAATCAAACAATTTGATAATAAATTGACTGACACCAGAAGGCAGAAAGGAATAAAACCTTTGTTTCAAATCATTTGAAGGATGCATGTGAAAACAAGGTTTTTCAGCAAAGCATGAAAACAGTATCATGGGGTGAAACCATCAACAGAGGCGATCCTTGAACACAGGTAAGAGGCAGGAAGGCGGGAAGTTGGGAAAGTTTTGGGATTGTCATGCCTGGTCAGTTACAAAATGTGAGAGGAAAATTAAAACGGTTTTCTCACAAGAATCAAAAAAAAAAAAAATGTCTGTTTTTGACTTGGATGTTGTGTTGGATAAGCCCTGTTTCTCAGGGGCATGATCCACATTCCCTCGGCACACCCTTTCCACAAGCACCAATGTGCTTCCACATGAGACCAAACCATGTGTAGGACTAGTGTGGCAGCCTTACACAGAAAGCTAAAACGAAGCCAAACAAGTTCTCTTTGCCAAAAATCCATAACCTGTATCTATAGACATTGCTGTTTTGAAAACATTTCAGGTTTGTGAATCCATGAGAGGGCCTATCAAAGAAAAGCTTTTGTCTTCACAGAGAGCACTGAGTCTGCTTTCTTTGAACGTGCCTGGATTCACATTGAACCATTCCCTCCCTTTCCCTGTGACCAAAAGTTGGCAGGTAGGAGATGACTGGTTGAGGTTCATGGTGTGGTATAGTTCTCTCCTGCCATGAGATTATTCCAGAATGGTTGAAAAACAGTCCTTCACATCAACATCACCTACATCTTGACACTTTTTTAGAGAGGCACATAAGTGATAAAAAGAGAACACTCAGCAACAGGAAGATTTACCGACTTGGCAACATAAAGATTATCATTTGCAAAAACCCGAAAAATTTCAGATTCACAGCCACTCCCCATGCATGTAGATTCAGGTGAGGCTCGGCATAAACAGGAACAGTGACCTTCCAAAATACTAACCAATGTGTTGAACAGCAAATTGCCAGAGCTCTCATGGGCCTTCACAAATAATATTCTTTACTTTGCCAACATGGAAAAGAAAAATATAACCCTCCATACATATTTTTAACTTGCTACAGCCATGCTTTGCACATGGCCACCAAATCTACCATCTTATTTTCTGTCATCTGGTTGATTTGGATTTTCAGAGTAGCTCAGCATTGGATCAGATTGACTGTGGACAATCTGATCTGACGGCTAAGGGAAGAGAAAACATTGGATCTACTTGCTTGCAATCCAGTGTTTGTTTTGATACCGTAGTCATAAGACACAGACTATACACTTGGAAGTCAAGCTTGTTTTTGATCAATCATCAAAATCATGAAAACTCCTGAAGTGATGTAACAGGATCTTTCTGTTCTTGCCCTACACTTTGCTCAGTTATGAAGGTGTGCGTTGGGATGGGCTGCCCTCTACCTTGGTGAATGTTTGGGAATAAATGACTCACTAGGGCAGAGACACAGCCATGTATATCATTTCAGAGAACAAAAGCCAAGGCATCTTCCAACCAGCTCGCTTTCTTCCGAAAGTATCAATAAGAATTGAGGATCAAAGTTCATCTGTATGTTATCAGTAATGCACACGGTACCGCCATCAACAACATTCCTTGTTCCTACAATGCTCAATCGACCAGCAGTGAGGTCATGTATCGAGTGGGGTGTTATCTATTTCAACCAGACCCCCTGTCCCTCACTGGTCTGATTTGCACATCATTAAGTGAAAAATAAATAAATAAAGAGAGCTTCTGCCTCAGAGCTCCTCTCTCCTGGCTAATTTACATGAAGCTGATATTCTGCCACCTGGATTTCGGCTGCACCAGGGAAGGCACATATGGCACACAATAGACCGCTTGTAATTTGGCTATCAAGAGAACCAGTGCCTCCCATCACGGCTCTACCCCAGGCTGTTGTAAAGGAGGCCAGAGGCCATCTGCTTTTTGCTCACAGCAGTAAAGAGGGGGTTTCAAGAGAGGGTCTTTCTCTGGTTTCTTGGGTAGAGGGCAAGAAGCACAAGCTAGCATGTTGGGTGGAACTGCCAGGACGGACCTCTTCTCTCCTGCAGAGAAATCCTCTCTGGGTGCCCAGCGGGACTCGGGATAGCAGGCTGGTATGAGATAGAAGCTTCGTCTCTTGAAATGTATCAAAAGGTTGGGGAGGTGCTGTGTTTGGTTCCAACCAAATAAACATAAACAAGAAAAAGGAAGTGGACTAAACCTTCCCAGAACGCTCCCTCACATCATGAACTTCAACTTACCGGCTCTCTCGGTTGGCAGACTTGTACTCAATGGCTATCATTAGGAGCTTGAGTTTCACAAAACATAGCCTGCAATGAGACAGAGAGGCCTCCCAGTCAGTGCTTGTGGACAGCAGAGTCACATAGCAAACACGGTTACCACCTTCCAGTCCCCTAATGCGGTCATCATTCAGGGCATCGTCAGTCCACTGCCAGGTGCCAAAGGCAAAGTGTGTATGCAAGGGGACATGTCTCCATCTTCCTGATTAAACCTGATTTCCCAACAGTGATAAGGGGCTGGATGTTCAAAGTGCAAATTGTGCTCTGGTCTGGATGTTTAGACACAGACCCCAAGCAGGAATTTGTGCCTGGGGATTTACACCAGGCCAGATTCCTTAGTTACTCTGTCGGGTAGTAAAATGTAACTACAGGGGGAGGGAGAGATTTGGAGCAGCTCAACCTGTTATTTGGATTTCATTTCGGTCTTTTGTACAAATGGCTCATATTGTTGTTCCGAGCAGACCCCTATGTGCTTGGAATGACGGCAATAACACTTAGCCTCCATCTAAGCGCCCGGCACATGATGACAGCTTCGTCACTCCTGGCTCCATCCAAGCTGTCTCCCCTCATCTGCTCAGGGCTCTTGGCTACAGACCAGACTGCTAGGAGGCCGGCTTGTTCCTGTTGCCCTGCCTTCACTCCTGTGCCCCCTCTGTACCCTTATAGCGTCTCTTCTTTTCCCAACTATCCTCCAGGCCTTGTCTAATCTAATCTCCAGGTCCCAGAAGCGTCCTACCTATTGGTGCCCCTGAGACTTTGTTCTCCAAACTCCTCCAGCATCTTGCCTGCCTCAGCATCATTTTCCCCTTAGCCAATTTTACTATGGCTGTGGCAGCTCCTTATTGTTCTGTGTCTGAGCATTCCCTCCTTAGCCAGAGAAATGTCCTGGTGGTGTCCGGAATTCCCCCATAGAGCAGTGAATGGAACCAGGAACAGAGAAGCTCCATAAACAGATGAATTCTACACACTGTGTTTCCATTCTAAGAAACTTCTAAGTGGTGCCATAACTTCTTTGTTCATAAAGACTTTCAAGGTGGTGCTATTCAGGCAGAGTGGAAAACACCAAAGCAAAAGTTAAACGAAGTAGGGTGTGATACGGTACAAGGCTGCCTAATTCAAAATGAATTCTGAAAACTGTTTTAAGATGTGAGATCCACAAAGCATATGATATAAGCCTCATAGTACAATTAGATTAAAGGATGTATTGACAGAGATAAGAGCTCACGTAAACAATGAATCGTATTTGTTGTATGTTACAGGGATCTATAATGAGCATTATCACTTATATTTTAGGAGCTCTTCAATACCAAAACATTAGTTGACTCACAGATTGAAAAATGAATGAAGGTATTTATTTTTAACTTTGTAAAGGAATGAGGTACTAAGTCAAAGAGTAAGGCCTTCCTGGAGAGCCCCACTTACTCCTCACCATCTTCCTAAGTGGGAGATATTGTCCTGAGCTTTCAGACATCTATTGATAACTCTGTTTGACCAGTGGTAACACTAAGACCCATAAAACCCATGTGATCTGTCCAGGGGTTAAGTGTTAGACCTCTGGCTAATACCTGGAAGAAGATACAACATCTTCATCTCCAGTTAAACTTATTTTTCACAGGGAGAGGAAAGTAATCAGCACATATATACAAATCAATTAGTGACAAATTTCCATATCCTACACGGAAATAAAACAACCTATGAGTATACAAAGTGATTGGAAAAGGCTGTGCCATTTGTAATGTTCCAAGAGGACCATCCTGAAGATATAGAGAGCACTGGAGCTTGAGGGGACAGCAATGAGAGACACAGGGAAAGAGCTTTCTAGAGAAGAGACACAGCACGTGCGAAGGCCCTGAGGCAGGACAAAGCCCTATGTGTTTGAGAACCAAACACAGACCTGCAAGGCTGAAGCTGTAGGAGCAAAGTGAAGAACAGTCATGAAGTCAGAAGGCAAGGTGGGAGAGAGATCATGAGAACGTGGCTTGCCACAGCAAAGTGCATGCTATTTGTTCTAAATAAATAAGAGACTTGTAGTTGGTGTGTGTGTGTGTGTGTGTGTGTGTGTGTGTGTGTGTGTGTGTGTGCGTGCGCGTGCGCACATGTGGAGGTCAAATATTGTTTCTCAGGCACTGTCCATCTTGTTTTGTGAGACATGACCTCTCACTGGAGTGGCTGGTCAGTGGTGGGCTTTGGGAATCTGCCTGTTCCCACCTCCAGGACACTGGGATTACAAGTGCTCTCCATCACACCTGGCTTTTTATGTGGATGATGGGAACTGAACTCAGGTCTTCATGTTTGCATAGCAAGTACTTTACTGACTGAGCAACCCCACCCCCACCCCCGGGCCGTGTAGTTGGCTTGAAATGAAGATGTGACACGGTAAGATGAGTGAGGAATGGAGATGTGTAGCTTACAAAAAAGTGCTGGTGAAGAGTGGGGATTTCATAGTATCTCCGCAGAATGAGAGCAACTGCTTGTTGCTACATGTGAGGTCCTGGAGGCCTGGTACTGCCTTCGACAGGCAGTCAGATTTCAAAGGACCACTTCCATACAGGCTTATCTGGGTTCTCTCTATGATTCACAGGTTTTCTGATTCCTGTCAACAGATGAATGACCTGAACTTTGAAATGATTATATAGCTCACTCCTGAAATACCAATGCAAGTATCACTAACTACATCAGCAAAAATGTTCTACTTAATCTGTGTCCCAGAGAGCTCCACTAACATGCACCCTATATCGGGCTTTTCCTTCTGGGGCTTAAATTGCTAAAAAAATAAAAAATAAAAAATATAGCTTATGTAATGTTTATGGAACCAAATTATCAGATTAAGTAACTATCAAATGTAAATAGTAGTTAAGTGCCAAAAACACAAGATGAATGCTGATCTGAGCAGGGATCATGAAAGTTAATAAGTTAATTTGCTGGTGTCCCATGGGCAACTGCCATACCCTTTAGGACTCTGGTAATTCATGGGATCAAAGATCTTAATTGCTTGTATGGATCTAATCCTGTTGGTGAGAAAGGAAGAATGGTTCTTAGTAAAGATGAATTTAATTGCTTCTTACCATTTTGGTTAGGATCAAGTGTAATAAGCATAAATGTGTTTCTTCCAAACTACTACAATGCCATTTACAAGCTAGAAACAAAAATCAAGGAATTTCCTACCACAGGAAAGTCAATGCAATCTATGAAATCCTGTGCACATCCCTCAACCTGGTAGAGGATAGACTAGAAGATCTCTGAGTTTCAAATACATGGGTGTGGTGGCGCATGCCTTTAATCCCAGCACTCGGGAGGCAGAGGTAGGCAGATCTCTGTGAGTTCAAGGCCAGCCTGGCCTCCATAGTGAATCCAGGACAGCTGGGGCTACAGGGAGACTCTGCTTCAAAAAGACCAAAAAAGAAGGAAAAAAAAAAGAAAAACAAACAAACAAACAAAAAAAATCTTTCAAAGCCAGGCTTCAGCTGACTCTAAACTGCCGTATACACAAGTCTCTAAGACGCCCTTTGACTCCAAACAAGCTATTGCTCCTTGGCAAAAAGATATGGAAGAGGTAAGGGACAGAGAGACCTAAACAGCAATTATATGAAAACAGGGCCATACCGTGGATCTTCAGACTCATGCCCTTCAGACTGGCTGGTCTTGTACTTCTTATCAAATAAAAAAACAAACTGCAGTCCAAGGACAGCAAATCAACTGGCTCAAGATCAAATGGCTCCTGCATAAAAACTAAAGTGGAAATGGAGTCTCAATGCAGTGTAGTATATATAGAAGCTTTTCATAATAGAGAAAGTTGGGACTGGAGAAATGGCTCAGCGGTTAAGAGACAGCTCTTGCAGAGGACCCAGGTTCAATTCACAGCACCCACATGGCAGCTAATAACCATCCTTAATTCCAGTTCCAGGGGAATCTGATGCCCTCTTCTGACCTCTGCAGCATTGCACGACACAGGTCGTGCAAACATGCAGGCAATACACTCACAAACATGCAAGCAATATACTCGTACACATAAAAAAATAAAGATAAATATTTTAAAAAGAGAATGGAGAAAGCAAAGGCAAGCTGTAGCTGGTCCATCCTGTTAGAACAACACAATGTTTTTTTAAAAACTGGAAATAGGGCTAGAGAGATGGCTCAGAGGTTAAGAGCACTGGCTGCTCTTGCAGAGGACCTGGCTTCAATTCCCAGCACCCACATGGCAGCTAAAAACTGTCCTAATTCCAGTTCCAAGGGATCCAAAGCCCTCTTCTGTTCTCTGCAGGCATTGCACCACATGGGTGCACTCATATACATGCAGGTAGTATACTCATACACATAAAAATAATAAATAAAAAAATTTTTTAAAGCTGGAAATATACACTAACAGGTAACTTCATATAAAAAACTGGCTTTTCAGCTTTCTTGAAAAAATTAGATATGGTCATACACACTGGAACTACTGTTCACATGGCTAAAGGGGACTCCCAGAGGGACATGTGTTTTTCAATGTCCTACAGTCCCCACCACTCCCTAATGCTCAGACCTCTTCCTCTCAGTCTTTATTGCTATCTGCCTGCCCCTCTAGGCATCTATGTTTTAAATCCTGCTTTAACAGGTATCCTCTAAATATTTACAAATGCATTGAAAATTAAATCATAATTTGGGGTTAGAGAGATGGCTCAGCACTTAAAGAGCACTGGCTCTTCTCACAGATGAACCAGGTTTTTTCCCTAGCACCTAAATGGTGGCTAAGAACCATCCTGAATTCTAGTTCCAGGGAATCCGATGCCCTCTTCTGACCTCCATGGGCATTGCAGTCATGAGTGCACTTACATACATGCAGGCAAAACACCAAAACACATAAAAGAAATAGATCAATTAAAAATTTTAAATAAATAAACCATAATTTAGCCAGGAAAAGAAGCACGGCTCTCTCTTTTAGTATTCAAATCATTTTTATTTTAGATCCTTTCACAGAGAGTTGGACAGTGTCAGCATCCTTTGTTTTAAGAACATAGCAGAGGTACAGCATCTGGTATGGGATCTAGGTG